CGACGCTCTGGAAATACAACTCCTCCTTAATCTTGAATGTCAACCATGTGCTACTGCAAACTGTGTTTTAGGGCAACACTATAGCTATGGTAGAAAAGCTGCTAGATTCCTAAGGGACAGGTAGGAACCACCATGATAATAGATAACTACATGTAAAGATTTCCATGCAGATCTGCCAGAACAGTCCCTGAACATACCAGGTATAGGCAAATGCATTTTAACCATGACCTAAATTTGTGGTAACTGTTTACAATACACAATAAAATATGAAACCATAGTAAAGAATATTTCAATGAGTTCTCTAATACGATAAATACTAAGACACTTGGTATAGTGAGGAAGAGGCAGACATGGTCTTGCAGCTCCATACGCTTGCAGCTGTTGAAAGGTCCTGAATTGCGACATACACTTATGGCTCCATCATGACATACCTGCAAATATCTATCTGTGATGGCTAAAGAGCAAATGGATGGAGTTTGTGGTGCTCAGTATGGACAAATGTTCCTTTGAAGGTGGTTACTACGCCCAGGCTTAGATAGCAGCCACCCTGGCAATAAAAGAAGGAACTCTGCAAGTAAGGCTCTGATCACAGAAGCTGAGGATGCAAGCAGAGAAAGCAATGCACTTGCAAGACCTGGCATTTCTTTTTGCTACAAAGGCTTTGCAGTAGAGTGGCAGCCAGTTGATGATGCTGAAATCAGGCACAGGGAGTGGAGGCTGTTCTGAAAACACCAAAGCTGGATTTGTTTCCAGTAAACTTGTTCCAGTTATAAATTTGGGTCAACTGATTATCATGTAAACTTTCCAAACATTTTCAAGCAGATGGGTTGAATTATAACTACAGTAATTTAGCTACTAACATCTGTGCTGCCAAATAATTCCTAGTTTGCATTTAAAAACCCGTGGAAAAAATATCCAAATTTGATTTTTCATATCAAAATAAGAGTAGAAAATTAAGAGAAGTGTGAAAGTAACAAAGCCCACGTTTATTCTTGCAAACAGCAGCATTTGTACAAATGCTGGTCGCTATGTTTTGTTACACTAAAAATACTTCACTTTGTTTGAATAAGCAATAAAAAGCCCCCAATAGGCCGTGGATGAAGGTGTGAAGGGGGATATAATCTGAAAGTTAGAAGGCAGGCTTTCAGGGTGGCCACCCACAGCTGCTCTGAATTACTTAAGAGGAGAGGGTTGATTTTTTTTTTTTTTTTAAAAGCTTTTCAGTTATAAAGGCTGATAAGGGAGGAGGTTCATGTTAGCAGAGTGAAGACTGTTCTTAGCTGGAAGAAAGCAGAGGCTCTTGACTGCTTATCACGTAATTTTCCACAATCTTGAATCCTTTCAACTTGGACTGTTCTTTCATTTGCTAAAATCGGACATGAGGTGGATACCAGGTCTTGTTCTTAGTAAACTGGGTAAGTTCTATTTTGTTGCTGCTTTACTTCCAAGTTGAACTGCATGATAAATCTCTCTACCTGGCAGGCAACCCTCTTAAAATTCAACTATACCCAGACTTTTCCTTGTACATACATTTGACTCTGCCTCCCTTGCCACTTATCTAAAGGTGACTGAGTCAAAAGCTAAATGGAAACTTTCCTAGCCTGAGTGGCAGTTGTCAGCTGCCTGGAAAACAATCCATTGGATGCATCTCTGGTGTCCCCCCTTAAGGATCTTTTAATTATGCTACACTTTGATAACTTACGGTAGTCACTTCATCCATGACTTGCATTTGTTTGTCCTGTGGCAGTGTCATGCTCATTGGTTCCACCTGTCACTTACAGGTACTCTGCTCTTCCTTGGCTAAAGGTGTAACTTCTCCATGAGAGAGGTGGGTATCCTAGTGGTTAGGGCTGCACTCTAGACCCCAGATCCCTTGTATGACCTTTGCCAGATCAGTTAACTATCTCAGAAAAATCTGGCCTTAAATGCCTAATTTCCACTGATGTTTTTGTACAAGAATACTTCCTAGAATCTGTAGCTCATTCCTTGTCCACAACCCTGGGGTAGGGAGGGATCATCATGTTAAGATAATGGGGAATATTGAGTGTCTTAAATAAAGAACAGAGTCATCAATCTTCAAGCAACCTTATATTTAGAAGTTGTGTAAAAATAGACACTAGGGGGGCAACTTTATTTTTCAAATGTAAAAATGCACTTCTAAAGTGAGTTATGTTGTGATGGATACAGTTTTTAAATACAAGTCAGGTTCAGTGATAGTACTTGTGATGGATGCTTACTATTAAATATTTACTAAATCTTCTCTCTATCTTAGTCAAGTCTAGTGAAGCTGGTCATATCAGACTACAATAGATCTATTGCCAATTCTATCCTTTAAATTTTAAAACTCCTTTTTCAAGGGCTTATGTTCATGGTATCACAGTTTTGGCTCCCACTTTCCAATCTAGTTGGAACAGGTAGTTCCATACCCACTAGCATATGACCGTTACTTTGCAAGGGAAGACAATTTTTGGATACCATCTGCTCAATGTAGGAGTTCAAATCTAGTAGCCCATGGGTTAAGGGTGACCTTGTTCCCTTCCGTTATTTTTTTTTCCTAAATCCCTGGAGCACACGCTGCTCTGACCCTCAGCCTGTGGAAAAACATTAACAGTGCACTGCTGATAAAGCTATGCAGGGCAGACTTCTAGAGTTGTACAAGCATTCCATGTTTCAGTCTCTGAAAGAAGACCAAGACATTGCCCAGCATGTTCATTCAATAGTAGTACAATGGGACAAACATTAAACCAGCAAGATGGTTTTATTCACATTGTGCTGTCAACTTAGTGTCCACGGAAAGACTGTTTGCTTCTGTCCCAACTTGACTTCAAAAAGAGAAGCGTAATAGACACCAGCCACAAATTCTCCAGTTCACATCTGACAACTATTAGGTCAAATAATAACAGAGAACGTGGCTCAGTCTGACCCAGGGATAGGAGTATCACCTCCACACAGCCTCAGAGCGGCTGCTGGTGTCATCCAAAAGTAATCTAACAATGCTTAAAAAACTCCACCTCATTTCTTGATTCCACGGAGTCATGGTTTAAAGCTCTGATAAGGAAAAGTCAATGTCACTAAGAAGATAATATTCAAAGGGCCATTTTGGTTTCACTTGAGGGAACTGTGCCGTTGTGCACTGCTGACCAGCCTTTGCTGCTGCATATACGAGACTAGAGTGCTAAGATAACATCATCTCCTTTGTTTCATCCAAAAAATAGGGCAGAAGTCTGAAAGCAAGTACTATATCAATGTAGACCTGATCAATAGATTTGAGTGATTTTTAACCTTTATCATCCTATACTTCAGAGCCCAAATATAGATACTTAAACATGAGTACAGACAAAATTCAGTGGTGAATATTGCTAGCATGCTGTGTTGCATTATGTCAAAGAAACCCTTGAAAAATGCCCTAAAAATAAAAGGTAAATGATTGTGCATTGCATGATGATACCATTAGGTGTGCAACTTTGGTTCATGCAAAGTCTTCTGTCATGGACAAACTGCTGATAGTTCAAGGATTCATGAAGATCCTGGCATATGCCATCTCTTCAGCCATGTTCTTTCCATAATACCAAATGAATACTGTGGTCTGGCATACTGGTGGCAAAAACCAGGCCCATGTCATTTTGACCATCTAGTCCATTTAGCCAGGAGATTTCACCAGCCAAGAAGCTGGAACCTCTCTTTGACTTTCGATATTCTGGCAGAGGCCAGCGGCTAATCAGTTTTTCTGTCCTCAAATCCATTATATACAGGTATCTGTTATCAAACAGCAGGGCAAATATCTCTCCAAAGCCCAGCAAGGACACATTAGCAAGGTCAGGAGGCTTGATAACCCTGGGGAGGGAAAAACAAGCATTTATCTCATTGTACAGTAGCAAGCCTGCCTTGCATGAAACTGCACTTCCTACACACAAGTGTAAAGGGAACGAAAACATCTAAAGCAGGGGTAGGCAACCTGTTCCGTCTATGGGCTGGAATGACCCATCCCAGGACACAGTACAGCAGGCAGGTACTAGGACCATCTGCAGCTGGCATTAGTCTCCTGTGTCCAAGGGAGATCACCTACCACCAAATGCTGGGAAAGTCACACATCTGTTTGCAGAATCCAAACGTTCCATGGACTGTGGGCTGCCAACCCCTGATCTAAAGAAACTGGTCTGATCCAGTATGGCATTTCTTATGTTCGCATATTAATTTTCTAGGTGGATGCACAGTATTAGTGTCCAAATTTAGACCTTAGGATAAATCCAAACTACATCTTGCTGGAAGTCTACTATCCATCCAGAAAATCTACTATGTAATCTGAAGTTGCCATGGCTCAACTGTCGTTCAGCTTAAAGGGCACAAACTACCCAGAGTACTTGTATTTGAAATAAGGAAGAAAAGCACAGCATAGATTTATCGCATGATCACAGTGCTATCTTGCAAAAGTCAAACCTGAGAACATAATGCCCCCACATGACCATGGGCAGAAATACAGCTCATTTGTAACAAATGTTTAGTTTGGAGTGTCAACATGAACCATCTAAAGTGGGAGGTGGTTCAAAGTAAAATTATTCCTTTACTTGTTACTAACACCCAAGACTATATACACTGAACCAGTAAGCTACTGTTCTCCCTTTGCTTCAAGGCTGAGTCACTTTTGGGGGGTTAAACCTCTGGCTGATAGGTGGTGGTGTTATTCCTATAGCAAAGGCCTGTTCTTGGGAAGCTTTGATCCTGGTTGCAGAGACTGCTCTGGGTCTGAACATTCAGTTGAGAACAAGGTCCAAATAAAACCCTGCCCTGCTGCCTGACCACCAGCCACAGCTGGCAGAAGCTTACTACATCATCCCACAGATGCTTAGGGGCTTGCAATAAGGTCTCAGGTTTAGGAATGCCAGCAGAAAGGGACAGTCTCTATACATTCTTATACTACTAGAGGACTTCTTAATGGGGCCAGGCGAGTTGCTACAAACCAACAAAGTACTACCGTTCTTTCCCATGTGAACTTGTGTCAGCTACCAAATCTTTTTTTCAAAACTAAACTGTAAGTGATTTTGGTTGAAAAACTATTCAAGGTGTGAAAGGGTAGTAGAGTCCTGGTGCCAAGATAAAAACTAATAATACATTTATGTAGCAATACCAACTTCAGCTTAGCAGTTTTCGTCCTAGTTTAACTAAAAGTGCACATTTGAAGAACTTTCATCAGGGTTGTTAGTTATGTAGCTGATGTATAAGGTATTATGTGCATCTCAAAAGCTATATAGGTACTCTTGCTTGTTATCTTTCAATACTAAACTTCATGTACACGTTTGTCTCAAACTGAAACTTTTACCTGAGAATATCATAGCTGGCAAAGTCCCATTGGTACAATCCTAGAGCTGAACTGCACACAATGTATTTGCCATCGAAGTGCAGTCGGGGCTGCAGTGAAATGCTGCGATCTTCAGACACCGACAGGGTTTTTAAGCATTTGCAATTTATTTCCCTTCCAATAGGCCAAATCTGCAATCAAAAACAAAACAGTGCGTCAGACTGCAAAGGGCACAACTTGTGAGTTGTTGCACAAACACAAACGCAGGGATCACTTGGCCCATGCTGATAAAGTGGACATTCTGAACCAGGAACAGTTAGTGAATTTAGACTATACATATTTTCAGAATTATCCTCTGGAACTAAAGCTCCTGACTAGACAGCACCAAGTACCATGAGACTCTGATCAGCTGGCTCTTCAGTTAACAGAAAATGTTATCAAAGTCTGTGGCATTTGTGTTTCACCAAATGCCTTGAATCAGTCTTTCCTGCAATCAGGAATATGGCAACACAGGTGTCATCTATCTCTATCAAGCATGGTACAAATACTGTAGTATTTTTCTTTTGAAGTGCTGTGTGTTATCACAATTCAAACAGAGGTGTGGATAAGTTGTGGCTCTTTCGTTAACAGTGGATCCTCATGACCATCAGGACAGTGTTATTAACCAAGTAATTTCACATTTTTTTGCATTTTCAGAGGGGCTTGCTCTGCGATATTGATACAGTATGCCTTACTGAAGTCTTTTTTATGTCAGAGGATTTTATTTATATTGCCCCTTTGTGTTCAGATAAAGTGAACATGAGCAACAACATGTTTTTCATCAAAAATCTGTCTTAGCCATTTAATTTTGTATTGCAGTAGTAGTTCCAATAAGCACATGAACACTGTGCAACTTCAGACCACTTAGAGTCCTCCACCTCTCATAAATGCTTGATACGTCCTTTGCTTGAGGGAGTAGGGACACTGGGCAACCACTGCCTGTGCTTGCTCTTTTGCCCTACTGCACACCAGGGCTGCCACTCAAGCAAGCCCAGCCATCCCTGTACTAGTAATTTATTTTGGTCCAAATGTGTGAAGAAAAACATCTGTTAGCCATTAGAGGCATTTGTCTTGAATACGTGTTCGCAGAGTATGCAGAGGGTATGAAGAAATCGGCATGTTTTAGCGGCTCCAGTAGATGCCCTAGGTGTATAAAGCATTCTATGCCCCTTTGTCATGATATGCATTTAGACAAAGTACATACCTTGATTTCATATTTATCTGCACTCAGAAGAATATAATCCCCTGGACTATGCATGAGAGATTTGACCTTGCACTTCTGCAAAACCACCTACAATTGAAAAAATAATTAAATGGGACTAAAATTCATACAACGGGTATTTTGATGGCAAATTACCTACCCAAATCTAGTCTTAAATTTTCTCTTGTATATATTGCAGTTTTTCAGTTACTTGGTATGTGTCACTTGTTGCTTTGGAGAGCAAGTGCTCTTAAGAAGAACACTTAGGGTATGCTCATACTGCAGTCACAGCAGTAAGTGCAGCATAGTGTAGAAATGCACTAACTTCTTGGCAGTGTAAGTCAGCCTAGACTGAGCTCTGTGCTACTGCAGTTAGACTTCTATCAACGCCAGGCAGTAGAATTAGGTTTAAAGCTAGTTTGCATCTACCCTGCACAGCAGAAACCTTTGTGACAGCAGTGTAGGAGTACCATTAGTCAAGACACAGAAACTGAACACCACACTATTCCTGTTCCCACTGCTAACAACTCACTGTGCCAGACATCCCACTTAAGTTAGACATCAGCCCAGAAACCCCTTGAACAGCAAAGGACAGAGTTTGGCATTTCTGTATCCCCATATGAGGGCATTTTGTTCACTTTCCTTTTTACTTTTTTTTCATTGTATTTTTTTGGTGTGCCAGTCACAGAAAAGCCGCACTAAATAAGATCACTGGCTCTTTTGTTGTACTTACACCTTAAAAGTGGCTTGGATTCACTACCTTGCACTTGTTCTTTGTACCAAACCCTGACACACAACATCACTCTATTCACTCTGCAATAGGAACTGCATGTTTAAGGGGAAGGTGTGGGGGGGAAGGTTCCAGTATAGCTGTGCAAGTGCCTCTTCTGCTG